TGTAGGAGTATTTGATGCCCTGTTCGTAGGTCCAGTCAATCGAGCCACCACTGGCTTGATCTACAATTAGGACAGGCACTGTTAGACTTAAAAAAAATAAAAATAAATTTTATACATATACATATATATATACACACACACACACACACACACACACACACAGGTGCTGGTCATGTAATTACAATATCATGAAAAAGTTATACCTGAATACTAATGAGAATCCCAAATTCAGTATCTCAGAAAATTAGAATATTACTTAAGACCGATACAAAAGGATTTTTAGAAATGTTGGCCAACTGAAAAGTATGAACATGAAAAGTATGAGCATGTACAGCACTCAATACTTAGTTGGGGCTCCTTTTGCCTGAATTACTGCAGCAATGCGGCGTGGCATGGAGTCGATCAGTCTGTGGCACTGCTCAGGTGTCATGAGAGCCCAGGTTGCTCTGACAGTGGCCTTCAGCTCTTCTGCATTGTTGGATCTGGCGTATCGCATCTTCCTCTTCACATTACCCCATAGATTTTCTATGGGGTTTAGGTCAGGCGAGTTTGCTGGCCAATTAAGAACAGGGATACCATGGTCCTTAAACCAGGTACTGGTAGCTTTGGCACTGTGTGCAGGTGCCAAGTCCTGCTGGAAAATGAAATCTGCATCTCCATAAAGTTGGTCAGCAGTAGGAAGCATGAAGTACTCTAAAGCTTCCTGGTAGACAGCTGCGTTGACCTTGAACCTCAGAAAACACAGTGGACCAACACCAGATGACATGGCACCCCAAACCATCACTGACTGTGGAAACTTTACACTCGACCTCAAGCAATGTGGAGTCTGTGCCTCTCCTCTCTTCCTCCAGACTCTGGGATCTTGATTTCCAAAGGACATGCAAAATTTACTTTCATCAGAGAACATAACTTTGTACCACTCAGCAGCAGTCCAGTCCTTTGTGTCTTTAACCCAAGCGGGATGCTTCTGGTGCTGTCTCTTGTTCAAGAGTGGCTTGACACAAGGAATGCGGCAGCTGAAACCCATGTCTTGCATCTGTCTGTGCGTGGTGGTTCTTGAAACACTGACTTCAGCTGCAGTCCGCTCTTTGTGAATCTCCCCCACATTTTTGAATGGGTTTTGTTTCACAGTCCTCTCCAGGGTGCGGTTATCCCTATTGCTTGTACACTTTTTTCTACCACATCTTTTCCTTCCCTTCGCCTCTCTATTGATGTGCTTGGACACAGAGCTCTGTGAACAGCCAGACTCTTTAGCAATGACCTTTTGTGTCTTGCCCTCCTTGTGCAAGGTGTCAGTGGTCGTCTTCTGGACAACTGTCAGGTCAGCAGTCTTCCCCATGATTGCGTAGCCTACAGAACTAGACTGAGGGACCATTTAAAGGCCTTTGCAGGTCAGTTAATTAGCTGATTAGAGTGTGGCACCAGGTGTCTTTAATATTGAACCTTTCTGCAATATTCTAATTTTCTAAAATACTGAATTTGGGATTTTCATTAGTATTCAGGCAAAATCATCAAAATTAAGAGAAATAAACATTTGAAATATATCAGTCTGCGTGTAATTAATTAATATAATATACAAGTTTCATTTTTTGACTGGAATCACTGAAATAAATGAACTTTTTCATGATATTCTAATTATATGACCAGCACCTGTATATATATGAAAATCAGAGTGATTTTTTCTTCTTGTAAACACCACTGAGTGGAATAAATAATAAACAGAATGAAGCCAAATGGTCTTATTGTAAACAGTGTTGCTGAAACTTACAGATGGTGGTGATGATGCTGCCGAATCTGTAGTGAGTACCGTACAGGGAGGCCAGGTCAGTGATGGCCTTTTGAGCCAGACTGTGCTGTAGAAAGAGAATATCATGATACTTTAACCAGTAGAGGAGAGATCGAACAACTATCACTACACTCATGTTAAGCACTAGTTATGGACAAGGAGTGATAACCATAAATGAAATCAGAATTTTTTTATTTTTTTATTTTTATATACCAACTCAGCCCGGTCCCTGACAGGAGTTCTGGTGTAGCCAAAGGGGTACAGGAGCAACTGAGAGTAGGAATGGATGGAGATGAAGGCTTTGATGTTGCCATGAGACCTGACAAAGTCTACAATGGATCTGACCTCAGACTCAGAGTTGGGTCTGGGTCCACGGTAGGTCTCTGAGCAGGGGTTGTTGCTGGCACCAGGTCCTACATATGATGAAAACAGGGAAAGAGAAACTGCAAGGAAATCTCAATGTAAACTTAATAATAGTACGAACTGTTCTAGGTGCTGTATAAGGTGCAAAGATACAATCATGACGCACAACCATGGTATGACTGACACAGCCACCCAAGTATAGTACCAGTAAAAGTTTAGATACATCTTCTTCTTTAATGGTTTTATTTTGCTTCTTTAATTTCCAACAAAGCAAAACAAAACTGAAGACATCCAAACTATGAAATAACACATGGAATGAATTTATGTATACACTTTATACATACGTTTCTATTTGCAATGTTTCAATGTCAGTGCTTTGCACACGCTTCATTCACCAACCAGCTTCATTTTGTCATCACCTGGGATGTTTTTCCAGTAGTCTTGAAGGAGTTCCCACATATGCTGACCCTTGTTGGCTGCCTTTCCCTCACTCTGCGCTCCAACTCAACTAATTTCAGATAGGTTTAGTTTATTTATTGCTGAGGCCAGGTCATCTGATGCAGTGCTCCATCACTCTTCCTGTTGCTGTAGTAAGCATACAGGCTAAGCGTTGCCTTGAATCCTGAATAAAGTATTTGGAAACAAAAATCTTATATCTGGACACATCACACTGAAGTCCAGATTTCTGCTGGTCTCATGTCTAGTCTTTTTGTTTCTTGGCTCAAACAGTTCTCTTTTCATCTTGGTCTCCCTCAGTGTTTTGGGCACATTCTCCCTTAAACGGTTGATGTTGATGTTGTTCCTGGATCTCAGGGAACCATTGCAGTGGATCCTGCAGTGGTTCTCACTACAGTTTCACTACAGAATTTTTGGTTTTTGCACTTGAAAAAACTTAGACAAAAGTCTTGAAATGTTGTTTACTGACTGACCTTCATGTTTCAAACTAATAATGTATTTAAATTTTGTGTTACTTAGTTGAGTGGTTGTAGCCATAATCTTGCTTTCTATTGTGGGGCTGTTTGTCATATACCTACACCACAGTACCTTTGCACATCACAACAATGATCTCATTAGGACAGCAATAAACGTCCACTTTCATGAAGGCTCACCTGGTTAAGATGGTACCAACAGCCTGCAAATATGCAACAAAAGCAAACAGTGGCTTTTTTGTGTAGTTTGTTAAAACTTTTTTGTTCACTACAAAACATCATATGTGCTATTTCTTAGTTATGATTTCCAAAAGGTTTTGTTCTATATGTGGAAAGTGATAAAAACAATGAAAAACCTTTGAAGGAGCAGCTGTGTCCAAATATCTGACTGGTACTGTATGTATGAGCATCATATTTGATATAATCTGTCTAATTATGATGATGTTTTGTACAAATCAAAAGAAAACTAGAAGACTAAAAACCCAGCTTTTCACTGAACACCTTTGCACTTGACAGGCCGAAACCAAACAAAAATAAATAAATTTCTAGTACCTCCTACACAGCCTGCTATTGGCCTCAACGCCCTATCACACTTGTTGTTCTCCTGGCTAGACCCTTGCTTGTGCTGTATCTGCTCTCAGATGTACGTAAAAGCATCTGCTAAATGAAATTGTTGAACTGTAGAATTGTAAAACAAAGACATTACATTTGAAGTTGCTATATGTAAGAATTAAAATTTTGCAGATTTGGGGCCATCTTGTGGGATTTTTAGGAATTACATTGTGGATGATGCATGGCTCTAAAACATAAATATGTAATATTTTGTAACAGAATAATTTGAATTAATGTAAATTCACATTTTCAATCACCAATGGAAAAGTTCTGAAAGTTCTGAAATCTAAAACAACACAATCAAACCAAAACATACATCTGTTTAATTTATATAACTCTTGACTATTTAGTGTATTGCTATTTTTCCTATGCAGGGAGAAAGATATACCTCCAAAACCAGCGTCCCAGTTCCTGTTGGGATCGACTCCCACACATCTGGAGCGGGGGTTGGGCTTCCGAGTTTTACGCCACAGACGGTTCTGGAAACATCACAATACTTCAATAAAGGTTACGAGTTTTATTTTTTTTATGGCCATTTCTGTTTATGCAATACTTGATGTGTTTATCATTGGTTCAGTTGTTTTAGCAGTAACAAGTCTTTTCATTTAAAATGCATTTAATACAGTAGGGAATGCTAAAATTCTGAAAACTGTTGAGAGTCATTGCAAGTGTCATGTCATCAAAAAACTGAATATGGCAGGTTAGTACAATTGTCTACCTATGACAGACTCACAGTGGTGTGGGTGTAGCTGTATCCATCAGGGTTGGTCACAGTCTCCAGGAAGATGTCCATATTGTTGAGGATGACCGTGAGAGCAGGGTCCCGTCCATAATCAGTCACAATCTAAAGATAGAAACGTTGGTTAGTGGTTAGAAACTGCCGAAACAGGGAAGGAAAATGGAACTTTTCATTATCAAAGCACCTTTTTGGCGAACCAGGTGCCGCTGGCCTGAGTGACCCACTCTCTGGAGTGGATTCCAGTGTCGATCCAGATGGCAGGACGGTTGGTTCCACCAGTGCTGAACTACAACACAGCAAAGGAAAGGAGCAGGGATTGGGGACAAATCTTTACTGTTTTGCTTTGTAAAACATTCATTTATTGCATTTACTGTACATCCATTTATTTCTTCCTTTAGCACAGGTGTCATTATTTTACGTTCATTTTGTAACTAGATTCTTTGTTTTCTGGACTCAACCTATGTTGTTGTTTTTTTTTGTTTGTTTGTTTTGTTTTTTTACCCTGAGCACATTAAGGGGACGGCCCTCGTAGCTCTGACCGATCACGATCTTGCTGACCAAGTTGGGATTCTCAGCCACCAGTGTGTCCTGGAAACTGTAGATCTGAACCAAACACAGAATCCTGCTCTTAATATACAAGCATATTTATATTAAGATATTAATTCATTCTAAGTCTGAAAAATAATACATTGACATTTTGCATTTCTCTGGTGACATTGAAAAGGTCCGCTTTACCGTTTCACAAGTCGAACCTAATCAAAGCATTATTAACAACTGGTACTGGCTATAACACACACAAAAGCTCATTATCAGTATCTAACAAGAACACCTCTTTTTAATTCATTAACATCAAGTCAAAACTGTAAATATAAAGCTGTCTGTGGTGATGATCATTTCAGAGGGTGCCAGCAGCCAGAGCAGCTGTGTGTACAAACCTCACTGATGGTGTGGTATGTGGCGTAGTCGAAGCTGTCAGTGTTTCTGGGCTCAGGGGCACGAGCAGCAGACACCATCTCCTCCTGCTCCTCGTCCAGCATCACCTGCATGACAGTGATGTCATTTATATTTGAGTGACACACCGTAAGCAAAGTTTTCTTTCTTTTAAATGAGATTCCAGGTTGTTGCCAGGTCTCATGCTGTACCTGCAGGTCTTCAATCATGATGGAGTACTCAATGTCCTGTGTCTCCAGGTAAATTTTGACAGATTGGAGTCTGTGGATGGGAACTCTGACATCTACAGGAGTGGCCACACCAGTCACACCCCTCCAGAAGTCCAGCTGAAAGAACACACAGATATCATCCAACAAAGTACACAAAACAGGTTTCCAATTTTCAGAAGAGCAGTGAATTTAATACATAAAAGGGGTGCCACATTTTTGAATCATTGTTGTTTTGATTTTTAGTTTAGAATTTGACTTAGTGGGCATAAATGACCTCGAAGTGGATCATGTCCTCCAGCTCCTTGATGAGAGACAGCTGGACTTCATCCTTTGGAACGATTCGAAGAACCTGATGTCTGTTAAAAGAGAACCGTGATATCTTACAACTTGTTACTCAACTGAAACAACCAGAGAGAAGTTGGCTCATGGGGTGAAGTAAGATTTCTCAATGTTGGCTGGTTCTGCTTCTGCAGAAGTTGCACAGTAAGAAAACGTATACTGTTGTTAGTTTACTTGTCAGAATAAAGCACTTCCCAGGAATTTCAGTTTGATTTCCTTTGCAGCTTTCTTCTACTCAGAGTATTTTTAAACTTTAGTGGGGCAACAACAGATAACTTTAAAATTGTGGGATACCTGAATGACGTTATAACCCAATAGAACAAGTAGTTGTACATGCAAAATAATTCTCACCGTTATACTGAGGTAGAGGCAGAATTATCAGAGAAAGGAAAGAATATTTTCTTGTTTTTGAGGCGATGCTTTAACAAGTTTTTTGTAAAGTTCAATTCGTCCACTGAAGGGCATGATGCACATTGTTTCCTGTGCTCGACTTGATTGTGGATTGGCAGTGTGGAAACATTCAGCAAACAGAGGGACAATCAGCAGATAAGCATCATAACACAACACATGCACTACTTATTGAATGCATATTTCACAGTTATGCACACATGTTGCTGTGAAAAGTTTTGCAGAAGTAGAAAATGTACAGAAGTGTACTTAGGAAACTTGTTGCTGTTTTAAAGGCAAAGGTCGGTCAGTGTGCTTTACTCAACTTTATAAGAAGTAGAAGAACAACAACTATTCATGGCATTCCCAAGAGCCTCAGTGAAATGAACTGGTCCATTCTGTTTGTCCCCAAAAAAGAGTCAAACATAGAATCTAAGTTGCTTTTTGCTGAGACTCTTCAGACTACCATGACCTTTATAATTGAGAATCTACACAAACAGTCATGGAATTATCTGTGACATCATCTTTACTTCACTTGCGGTAGCCCCAAACTTAAGCACAGCACTGTACTCATCACTTACCCAGCAGTGAGAGGCTCTGACAGGCCAACTTACCCCTCAAATGTCTCCCTTGCGACAGCAGCCACAAACAGCACTGCGAATGCAGGCAGCCCCCTCATCATTGACCAACACTGTGAACACTACTGGGGGAAACACAGGCTTTTATACTTGCATGTGCCAGGACAAGTCATGTGTCTCAACCACAACCTTATTCAGTGTCATGTATGTGTTTCAGTGGCTGGTTCTGTTCTCATTACACCAAAAATTGCAACATATACCACAAAGTTGTTCAAGCTCTGCTGTTTCTTCATTTAGTTGTGTTTTATATGAACATAAAGAGAAGACTCACAGAAGCACCACAGAAACTTAATATTAATTACGCTTTGCAGCATCTTCATTGGCTCCCTGTAAAATTCAGGATAGAATTTAAAACCCTGCTTTTAACATATAAAACTCTCAATGACCAGCTCCATCTTATCTTAAAGACCTTATTGTACCGTATCATCCTAACAGAGCCCTTCGCTCTCAGACTGCAGGTCTACTTGTGGTTCCAGAGTTTCCAGAAGTAGAATGGGAGGCAGAGCCTTCAGTTATCAGCTCCTCTGTTGTGGAATCAGCTCCCAGTTTGAGTTCTGGAGGCAGACACCTTCTCTGCTTTAAGGCTATGCCTAAAATTTTCCTCTTTGTTAAACTTATAGTTAGGGCTGCTCAGGATCACCTGAACTGTCCCCTAGTTGTGCTGCTATAGCTTTAGACTGCCGCGGGATTCTAATGATGTACTGAGCTCCTCTCCTCTCCTCTCCTCTCCTCTCCTCTCTCTTCCTTCCATAGAGTTATAACAACCATGGCCTCACCGACCCCCAAAATATTTATATTCATATTTATTGTTCTGTTCTATTGCTGATCTCCATCTGCTATCCTGCTATCTATGCTTGGTGTCTTACAAAATTCTTTTTCTATTTCCTGAAATGAACAAATTCTGAAACCTTTACAAGTTGGTACTACCTACCTATTGAATGGTTTCCTGAGAATCTCGGCTCAATGAGTGATGAGCACGGGGAGAGATTCCATCAGAACATGAAAGAGATGGAGACCAGGTATCAGGGACGCTGGGATGCAGTCATGATGGCTGATTACTGCTGGACTCTGAAGGGTGATATACCTGCTGCTTATCATTCCAGGAGTTCCAAGAAGTGCAAGTTCAAGCCCTGAATTTTGAGCAATGCTGATGAAACATGCAATATACTTGTATTTACCTTTACAAATGTTTCCGCTCATCAACTTTTGAATCATTTTACTTATCAAAAGGATTTGAAAATGAAATTTTCCTCTTAAATCCGATTTCATGTGAGAAATCAATCACTAATGTCAAAAAATGTGATCGATTTAGTGGCAAAACAGTTTTTTTAATCGACTTGGCATAAAAACCTGACCTGATACAGAAAAGCCTTCTTGTCCTTCTTGGATTCAGTGTTGCAAAAATGTCCTAAATGACTTTTTAAAAAATCCTAGACACCTTTAAAAACATATCTTTTTGTAACTCAGTGTAATGGATGGATGGATGGATGAATTTTCAGTAATTCTTTAAAACAATGATATGTTTTTAACCACATCTTGAAATTGCTTGTAATGTTCAAAAAGCTAAATATATTACATTTGCCTTTATGTTCATCCATTATCTGTCGCAGGGCTACACTTAGAGACAGACAACCAAGCGCACTCACATTCACACCTACAGACAATTTTGAATCACCAATTAACCTCAACATGTTTTTGGACCTTGTGGGAGGAAGAACCTGGAGAGAACCCACACTGCACAGGGAGAACATGCACACTCCACGCAGAAAGATCTTGGGTGTAATCACTGTGATGTGAACCGGCGACCTTCTTGCTGCGAGGAAATGAACACTAGAAAAGCATCAGCCTGTTGCTGTCGTAGCTGCTGGAGTCTGAACTACTTCATATCCAGTTTTATATCCAAAAACAGCAGATAAACCTGAGAATTTGTCATATCATTAATGGGCGAGGAGGAAAAACACTTCTGATACTCTACTCTGTTTTCATTTCTTTGTAATCTATGTTGAGATACTGGATCATTTGAACATTAATTGGATGTAAATAGTGAAAGATGTTTAGAGGAGAAAATCACTATTTGGTCAAGTTGTTAACAACTCATTTGAAATGGGTTGGGAACCACCGGTTTGTTATACTTTAAAAGCTTCAACTGAAGGGTGGTGTTTCCCTGTGAAATATAGCATTGTGGAAGCATGAAGTAGCTTAAAATGGAAATACTCAACTAGATATTGTACCCAATTACAATGCTTTGGTAAACATACTTAGTTACTTTCCATCATTGATCTCTGGACATAGCCAGGCTAGCTGTTTCCCCAGCTTTACCGTCTTTATGCTAAGCTAAGCAGTAGCGTCATATTTATACAGATCTGAGAGAGGCACCAATCTTATTATCTCACTCTCCTCAACAAACAAACTAAACATACTTCATAAAATGTCAAACTATTCCTTTAAACATCATCATCATCATCAGTAAATAGTATGAATATTTATGTTTTTTTAACCATCAGTTTTCTCAATGCAGTGTTGTTTTAGTGACTTCCAGTTGTTCACATCATCTGACCTACGATGTGTGTTCAGTCTGAAATCCCATGACTGTATTCCATCACTGTGCCCTTGTCTCTCTCTATCTTTATTTTCTTCTTGTGTTTACTCTTGTGTGAATAGCTGTTTCTGAGTAGAATAAAATAGTTGATGAGAAGAAACACAACAACCAAACAATGATAGGTCATTAGCTAATACCAGCTGGCATAAGGTGCTGCTCTAAAATCTGTCCACAGCTCAAGATGGAATCTGACTGCTTGACACAAAGCTTTCTCCTTTCAAATGTTGTCTCACGTCTCAAATACCTCTTTGTTGCCGTTCTAAGAGAAATTCTTGTGAATAAAAGATGGTCCAGCATCTTCTGAATTACACCAAAAAGAAACGCCAGTTTTCCAGCGTGCTTGTTTATTTGTCTGTTTGTGGTTTCCAACATGTCAAAAGAGTCACTGATCGTAAACATGATGGTGACGGTGGTGGTGATTTAAGAAATGAAGATGACAATTCAAAATTGATATTTGTCATCAGTGGGTCCTCGACAAGGATTTCCACGATCACACACACCCACATTAGTATGGGTTGTTGTAGGTGTGATCCATGATGGCCATCAGAGCCAGCCAGGTCTCCTGAGCAGTGGGGATGATCTGATTGGCAGGCAGGATGAAGCCGTAGCGGCCGGTGTCCCTCAGCTCGAAGGTGTAGGAGTATTTGATGCCCTG